TAGGGAAACTGTGAATTTAACTTGAATATGTGTACAGGAAAACAGATAGCTTCAAGTAGTCACACTATATACTCTAGGAGAGTAAACAAATTTTGAAAGACCTGTTTTTATATTCATTAACATATTAGTAGCATCCAGACCTCAGAAAAGAAGGGGAGGGTGTGGGGAAGAAAACTTACAAATTTTGAAATTGCACCAAGCACTGTGCTAGGTGAGCTTCAAATGAAGTGTCTTTGTAAAACAGTTCAGATCACCATTGAGACTGAACCCCTGCTTGGATGTTCCAAGCAGCACCAGGAAAATCCACTGTAGAACTTATTTCAGGGGATAAACCAACATCTAGCTCCCAGACTAAGGGGGAGCCTATGAAATGTCTCCAGCAACTGGGGGGACTAGGGGGGGAAGGTGATCTGGTTTACCAAATGAAGCCATAAGGCTCAGAGAAAGCTAGACTGGCGGCAAGGTTTGGTTCCACCACGAACCAGTTAAGTGACTGAGTCTATCCTCTGAAAATTCAGGGAACTAGGTTAGACTCGTGACGAACCCCTTTGAGGATCCACCACAGGGAGGACAATAACAGTAACTGCAGCTAACACTTATTGAGCACCTGCTGTGTGCCAGTCATGTACAGAATGCTTTTCATGGATTAACTCATTTCATCTTGCAACAACCTTTGAAGCAGCTGAAGTGATTGATATACAAGCTGTATTGCTCTCTTTAAAGGTACAGGAACACCCCTATCACAAAACATTCCCTTTCATACTCAAAGTGCAATTATCACTAATGACTCTACAACAGCCCTTCATGACCTTTCCCCATCAATGGCTGGTGAACCCTTCTACGGGTGTCCCATCATTACTGAGTAGACAAGAAGAAAACAGGCAGTGTGTTCCCTAACATTTTTAGCACTAGTGCTCCCCTCGTCTTCCCAGGCAGTATAAGGTTCTGAGTAGGGAGATCTGGAGTCAGGCTCGCTGCGTTGTGGCTCCCAGCACCACCGCTTACTGGCTGTGTGACCTGGAAAGTTACCCCAGCCCTAGGTCAGTCAGTTTTCTCTTCCACACGATGGGGCCCAAATAGTGCCTACTTCCACAGTGTTGTCGTGAGAGCTAAATAAGGCTCACGTAAAGCACTCAGGGTAATGCCTGGCATGGAGACACTTCTAGGTACGTTGTTTTGGAAAATCTGAGGAATCAGTAATAAACTATATAAGGAATACACATCACAGTGACATCAAGATTTACTTTGGCAATACACTTCAACCTTCTCCAATTTATAAAAAAAAACAGTGCCAAGATTTTCACTTCATTATTAGTAACAATCACAACTGCTTATGACTGAATGATCGCAGTTGAGAACCTTTATTTGTCAAGCACTTAGTGCTTACTACATGCCAGATGCTGCTCTAAATGCTTTACAAACATCAACTCATTTAATCCTCTCAGAACATCTCTAAGGTGGATACTATTACCATTGCCTTGTTACTTGTGAGGAAACTGGGACTCAGAGAATTAAGAGATTTGCTCTAAGACACCCAGCCAGCAAGTACAGGGAATGCACTCAAACCTAGGTGGTCTGACTCCCAAGTCTGTACTTTCACAACTACATTCTCCTGCCTTTGCTCTAGCTGTGGATCCGTGCTCAGAGATACTTAGCTTGAAGGGCAAAGAGGAGGATTGCTTTTGACTTAATATAATGAAAGGCTATCAACTAAAGGAGATCACCCCTCTGATCCGAGGCTGGAAAAAGGGAGTATTCATTAATGGTTCCAATAGAGCTAAAACCATGATTTACCAAAACATATTCAGAAAGAAAGGTTTAGAAACTATCATTTCTATCCATCTACAACCCTCCCACCTATCCACTCATCCCATTTTGAAACAGGATTTAAAGTCACTCTGAAAATTACATACACATATGACAGTCTCTTCTAAGAAAAGGAAGAGCCAAATGTTCCTCTCCTGAGGTGGATGAGAACTCTGCAAAATGTGAGAGCTGAGCTACTCGCATCTCACACCAAAAGAAGCTGGATTTGCTCCTTAGAAAAGTGAGGGTCACAAATCTGTAATGCCTGGAAGCTGTGGTAAACAGCATACGTACACACGTTGTTTCTGAGAAAGAGAGGGGTTGTAACTTTGACTAGATTCTCCAAGAAGAATGTGACCCCACCCTTCTCAGAGGATGTGTAAGTTGTACACAGATGAAGGCATAGCTAAACA